ATGTTTATTTAAAAAAAATATAATTTTTTTTTTAAATAAACATTTGAAATAAGAGTCGGAAAAAGGACATAAATGCGAGAGGCGGTAGAGAGAGGTAGACAATGGAGCGGAGAGAGAGAGGGAGGAGGGACGTTTGTTCCCGTTCAGCCCAGGAGAGGACGGGGAGGGCGGGGTGAATCCAGCCGGTGTCTCCGCTGCTGCTGTCCGCCGCGCATCCCCTTCCTCCGCAGGTGAAACCGGCCGCCACCGCTTCCCCGCAGCCCGGGTTAACGCACAGGCCCGCTGCGGTTAGGCTCGGCCGTAGCGGTTCGCCCCATTTGGATCCGCCGGTACTGTCCGGAACGCGGCGGGGGTGAGAGGAGAGAGAGGAGGGGGAGGAAGAGGAGAATTCCTCCTTAGCAACAAACCGGTTACCCGGCATTATTGGTAGGTACCTCCCTCTGTGTCTGTCAATGTGAGCAGAGCTTAGCAGCAGCGGCAGCAGCAGCAGCAGGGCGGATTGATGGATAAAGTCAATGTGATGAAGAGAGAGAGACAAACTGCTCAGGTTTTATAATCATGTCAGCATTTCTTCTTATGCAGATCATCTACATTTGAATGGATTTCCCTACAGGCTCTGCAGAATGCCCTTCTAAAACGTGTCTGGTGTTTAAAACAACCTCTTTTGCACCATTACTCTTAAAAAAACCACAAAAAGATCAAATACTATGTTGTGCAATTAACTGGATGCAAATCTGGCACTTCTGCATCCCTCACTGACTGATTTAGATATAATTCCTGCATGAAGGAAGGCTGACTGTTCCCCTTGTGTCACATCTGAATCCTGTAGGTCTGCCTTGTCAGTACCAACCATGTGATTGTTTTTTTTTATTTTTTGGGGGTTTTGTATTTTCAGGGATGGATGGACTGCTGATGACTGTGGAGGATTAAACTGTTGCCTGGAACAAAAATCCCCAAAATGGACCGGATCACAGGGATAATGGTTTATTGATTTGGGTTTAAAGCTGGACTTGTTTCCCTTGGTCTGCCTTCGAAAAACCAGACAAGTGAGGTTGTGGTGGGGTCACTGCAGTGTAGTAGCCTCAGGGACAGGGCTAAATTATAAAGCAGAGGATTACTATAGAAGGTCTGAAATGCTTACAGGTCTTAGTATTCTTCTACAAATCTGAAACTACCTTGAATTAGCAACAAGATATAGTAAAGTAAGGGACGCTTTAAGGTCTAATTGTCCCTATTTAGAAGAGGAACAGTAGATCTACTCTAAACTACATAAAAATTCTATAGACCGCAATTATAGACTCTTTATTATAACTGGAATGTGTTCTTCCTGATACATTTTGAGGACCTAAGTATCTTTCTTCCATTTGAATATGGCTCTCTGATTGGATTAACTCTCAGTGCGACTGGAAGCTCCTTCATCATGTCTCTGAGTAAGACCCTTGAGTTGGAGCATTTCGACGAACGGAACAAGGTCCGCCGGGGACGCTCTACCCGACCTAAAAGAGATGACTCCACCGCCAGCGGTGGGGGATCCGGCCCCAGTTCCAGGGGCAGCAGCCTGGTTCCCAGTCCTGCCCACAGCGCCAACTGTAGCTACTACAGGACCCGGACACTGCAGGCCCTCACCTCGGAGAAGCGAGCCAAGAAGGTCCGGTTCTTTCGCAACGGGGACCGGTACTTTAAGGGCCTGGTGTACGCCGTTTCTAGCGACAGGTTCCGGTCGTACGACGCTCTGCTGATGGAGCTCACCCGATCATTGTCAGACAACCTTCATCTGCCGCAAGGAGTTCGTACAATCTACACCCTAGATGGCAGCAAGAAGATCACCAGTATGGACGAGCTTGTGGAAGGTAACTACTTCTTGGTTTAAAATTAGGTTTCCTATTATTGGAAATAGGAGGTTGTGGAGTTTTAAGCCATTTTTTTCTGTCTTCTTATTATCCGACTCTTCCATTTATGCCTGTGTCTCTGAGCTCTGCATCAGAGCTGCCAGGAGTGACTTAGATAAACAGATAGAGATTAATATGATTGGATAAAGAATGACAAAAAGTGCACATTAGCCAAGCTTTCTGCACCTTGGTAAGAATCTTTAAATCAATACTAACTGTTGGGTGGTGTTTCCCCAACATTTGAATATAGCACTGTTGTAAACTACTGTACGGTAGGGGTGTGCAAAATAATCGTGATGATGATGCATCGTGATTCTAATTTTCGTGATCTACTGCATCGATTCTTGATGCCAAGAATCGATTATTAATTTTAAAAAATGAATAAATAAAATTGCATGAATGGTTGACGAACATCAGCCAAAAACAAGTGTAATACAACTTCCAGTCCAGTAGATGTCGCTACAAATGTGTTGACGCACGCTGCCTTGTGTCACAAGCATTTCCGGCCGTGGGATACTGTGCCGAGTCATTCAAAAACAAAACATGGAGGAGAAAATATTGCAATGCATCGCAATATTTCAAGTATCGTGATGCATCGTGATAGAATCGCATCGTGGCATGTGAATCGTGATTCGAATCGAATCGTGACTTCTTTGGCGATACCCACCCCTACTGTACGGTGGCCTTTTTTTGACGGCTCCAACACATAAACCTCCAAATTCCCATTATTCTATAATTGCCTGTCAGAAGCGAATGAAGGGATTCCAATGGCCTTACATTGGGCTGCAGTAAAGCTGTTTTTCTTACCACTAGAGCAAGAGCAGAGCCAGGAAACTGCCCCTGGGTCAGTGGTGCAGAACGTTACAAGTGCAGTTTTCCGGCCAAAGCCAGTAGACAAATGACAAAGCCCTTAGTTGTCCCATAAACACCTAGAAATGATTAAAATATCTCAATTTGTGGCTCCCAGCTCATGTTCATTACTTCTATTATGAGTATTGGTTTAAGTAAGCAAAAAACACAAAATCGAATCCCCAAATAAACTAAGAAATATGACAAGAATGCTGAAAAATCAAAAGTTTGGAATATTTTATGCCATTTTTTGGCCCCGATACTGATACCCGATACCTGGCTGTGCAGTATTGGCCGATACCATATCGGTACCATCTGTTTGAAATTGATGTATGTGCGTATAAATGAAGAACTGCATTCTACTTGGATATAAAATAATTACCATCATGTCTTTGTCAAGCTGCTGCCTACCTTTATGAAGCAGGAAGAAGACTAATACAAAGTGAATCCAGTAGAACTTTTTATTTTCTACCTGGAATGGGTGACAATAGTTGAAGAAACTTTTGGCTCTCAAAATGGTATCGGCGCCCTATTTGTTGGTACTCTCCCATACCGATACCACCATTTTAGAGCATTTTAGACCACCTGATACTGGTATTGGTATCGGTGCAGCACTAATTATGAGTATTGCTTTAAGTAAGCGAAAAATACAAAATTCGAAGCCCCAAATAAACAAAGAAATATAAATTAATATTTATGGGTGAACAGATAAATTAATATCTTTTTGTATAATTTATTTATTGTTTTATTTTATTATGACCTTGTCTATCCTATTTACCTGCAATTTGATGGGGCGGCACTATAGCAACCCATATTGACAAGCCACTGCTGTTTATACTAAGGCTAAGGTCAGATAAACTTGTTGGTTTTATTATTTTGTGAGGAGTGATCAATGCCTGCGATTACAATGAAAATATCAAGATTTTAATAACATTTTCGACATTCTTTATGATTCCATTTGATCTGTAGCTTCTCAGCTAGCCACCGTTGACAAGTTAGACTTAGATTCAACGTGATTTATCCCTTGGGATTACTCCTTCAGGGAAATTCTAGTTCCAGTAGCTAATTTAGAGTACAAAGAGCAAAATGCCATTATAGATAAAATACTACAGACAATATAAAAAGAGTGTATATAGTACAAAAAAAGCAAAAAAAAAAAAAAAAGTTGTAATGTTCTTCAATATGTTTCCCTTAGATATAAAAAATATCTGCACAGTAGAGAGCTAAAGGAAGACTATTTAGTAGTTGATTAAGGTTATTGCACTTGAACTTCAGAAAAGTACTGACCTTATAAATAAGTAAAAAATTACACAGGTTACACAGTAGTTGGCATGTGTTATTGCACAGTGAGAGAGAAGAATCTTGCACGAGTGACATTAGGTAATGTTTGGCATGACACGTCCAAGGAGGGGCGGGGCTGACCCTTGCCCCTCTTCCTATCACCTCCTCCTTCCACCGAGTGAGGAGTTGTACAGCTTGATTGCTTGAGGAACAAAGGAGTTCAGCAGTCTGTTGGTCCTGCATTTGGGGAGGAGCAATGTCCCACTGATCACGTTAGCAACTTTATCCTTATATTTAGCAGCTTTATTTCAAAAAAGCAACTAGTGACAGATCTAGTAGCCTTTTTTCTGTTTTGTTGGAGACTTAGAAAACCAAGCGAAAATACAGATAGCTCTGAATTTACCGTCTTCAGTGAGCAGCGAGGGCTGCTGTGAGCCCCTCCTTTTTCCAAAACACTTACAGGTGGTTAGACTCAGCAGCAAACTGGGTCTGCGGCCCAACAGAGAAGATTATTTTCTCTATATCCCTAATGACAATGAGTCACACATGCGCAAAGTGTCCACTGATCCCCTTTAAAGCAGGATGTAAATATACGGTAATTCTTTATATAATGTTTTTTTTTACTGTTTATACACAGTCTCCTCCACTCTCTGTGCCTCTGCTAACGATTTTTCAGTTGAATTTGATTATATAGGAAGACTGATTTATACGGAAGAGGATTAGGGCCGCTGAACCAATAAAAAAAAAAGTTAATTGATTTTTTTATTGTATTTCAGTATATTACGAGAAAAAAGTCAGAATTCTGACTTTTTTCTGAGAATTCAAATTTTTTTCTCAGAATTCTGACTTTAATCACATCATTCTGACTTTAATCTCACAATTCTGAGATTAATGTCTAAATTCTGACTTTAATCACATCATTCTGACTTTTTTCTCAGAATTCTGACTTTATTCTCAGAATTTTGGATCTTGATGTAGATGGGCACTATGAAGGTAGAGATATGGGAGCACTCAGCTCCACTGACAAAGATGTGAGTTGTTTGAGAGGGCCAGTGACACATTGGTGGAAAATGACGGAATTGGGTGACTTTTTACATGCCTGAGGGTTCCCTGGTGATACTATTTCATTAATGGAGGAGCAGAAGGTGTTTGTTAGCTGTCAGAATTCAGTCAGAATTCAGAGATTAAAGTCAAAATTCTGAGAAAAATGTCAGAATTCTGAGAAAAAAGACAGAATTCTGAAATTTAAGTCAGAATTCTGACTTTTTTTTTTCCTGAGATAAAATTAAAAAATCAGTAAAATTTTTTACATTTTGTTCAGTGGCCCTAATCCTCTTCCGTAGGTTTATGTAGTTTTAGTTTGAGTTCTTGAAAATATTATATACCTTAAGTCATACATTTTTGACTGTATTTAGAGTGTTTTTAATCACTTCCTGTCGAGACGATGTTGATATTCCTCTCCTTGGTCTGATAACAGCATTATGCAAATTAACACTACAAATTAGATGATGATGTCATCTAGCGACTTCTAGCAAGTTGTAGGACAGCCTGTAGGGACTTCACTAGCTGAAGAGTTTGCAACAGTGCAGCCGCTGTCATTACCATCAGATGTGGCCATCAAAGAGAGTGTGAGTGCATTCAGACGGCCATATTCGTTTTGATAACATAATCTAAATGCATTTCACTTTAGATCTGAAAGCCTACCAGATGTTGCATGTAAGCTGTCCTGTGATTCGCACTTTATATAGCGATGCTGAGTGCATCTTCTACTTAGTTTTACTCTCACCAAGAACATAAAATGTATACTTTCCAGAATGGATAAGTTCAACTTACATCAAATAAATTTTTTCATCCTAAACAGTCATATGAACCCCAATGACTGATTAATGTCAGTCCCTGCAAACATTTTACTGATTTTAGCAGCTGAAAAAGAATGCCACTTCTCTGCCAGATTCTCTGTTTCTCTAACATCTTTGTTGCACCTGTATTTGTTTCCTCAGAAGGACAATCTTTTCCATTTTAATGCTTCTATTGATTGACAACATGTTTATTATTTGGTAAAATGCACAAGAAAAAACAAATTTATATGTAGCATAGAGTTAATATAATGATGCATAAAACTGCAACATTGCACAAACATGGTGTAACATGTGCTGTCTATGCCAGAAGCAGCACATCCAGAGTAATGGCTCAAGAACAGACACATTACTCTAGTAGTCCCTAACTGATTGTGGGACTTAGAGAGTCTGGTAGGAAATAACTACCCGGAGGTCAAAGCAGCCTCTCATAAAAAAAAAAAAACTTTAAAAGATCTGATTTATCATCAAATGGGATTATTGTCATGAAGAGAGCAAGATAAACTCTCTGAAATATGTCATATTTGTTAAGTGAACATCCACAAGGAATTTTACAGTAAACAGTAATGTTGTATTTTAGCCCTTTTGGCCCATAAATGCAGAGTATTTTGATATCAGTAGTATCCAGTTTAACTCATATAAAAAAAAGAAAGGTGGTACCAAACTAGAACTAAATGACTTGCCTTTGACTAGTAATGTATAAAAGCTAATTTTCTGTCTGTTGTTGTAATGGCTGTTTTCAAAGTTTGAAATAGATAATTTAGATTTGTCTTAAAGAATCCTATTTAACACGACTTATACATTTTTTCATCATAGCAACATTACAGGCGACAGGATGCTGCTTGAAAGGAACATAATGTAAAGCAAAAGGGTTGTATCACCACATTTCGAGCATCTTATGTCAGCGATTTCTAACTTTATTATCTGTAAATATCATCCTGTTTGTTTATTTCCTAGAGACTGTAGACTCTTAAC